ATTCATGATATGTAATTGTTTGACATTTGGACTGATTTTCTCTTGTTGTGTAGGCACAATGTCTTCTCCTTCTCAACCAGCTCCTGCTACAAAAGGAAAAAGAGATATAAGAAGCGAGCACGAGTGAATCAAGGAGGAGATACTGAAGCTGAGTTTACCCCACAGTTTGATGCTCACTTTTGGAAAAGTGAGGAACATGAGAAAAGGTATACTGACAAGACTTCCAAGAGGCCATTTGTTAGAGAAAGAAAATTTGTTCTAGAACAGGATGAATATCCCCAGTTTCAGTCTCAGCTGAAGACCAGGGATTGGGCAACTTTTGGAAGAATACTGGGTGCTAGCAGTCCTAACATAGCAAGGGAATTCTTTGCTAATGCATTTAATGGAGATCAAGGAGGCCAGAGGACCTTCACTAGCTGGGTGAGGGGAAAGAAAGTGAAGTATGATGCTCACACTATCCAAAAGCTGCTGAAGATAAGGTTCTGTGACTATATCCACAATGCCAGTTGTGAGTTCAGGAGAAACTGGCAGAATATTGAAATTCCACCAAGGAGGAGTGACCCAAACTTTGACACCTGGACCAAGATGGGGGCAGCTGAGCCTATTTTGCAGACTATAGCCAAACCTGGTGAAACTTGGGAGTTAACCAAGGATAAGGTTGCTCCTAAGTTGATTTGGTTGAGGCATTTAAATGGTGAGGCTAGAGTCTGGTTTCACTTTGTAATCTCAAATGTCATGCCCTCTTCCAACCAGGCAGAGGTTATCCTGAAGAGAGCTGTCCTGATTCACACTATCATGACAAGGGCGAAGGTGGAACTTCCTATTCTCCTTCAGGACAGCATTTATGATATGGCTCACTCTGACAGTGACTCTGCTGCTTTGGGTCACTGTTCCTTGATTCAGTTGCTTTGTCAGAAAGCTGGTGTAGATGTTACTGATAATGGGGCACCAACTAAATTGCACCCTACAATTGATGCCGCCATGATTACAAAGCAATTGAAGATAGGAGGAGGGGAGGTCACAGGATTGACTCCTGGTAGGAAATCTACAACTCAGAGTGATGATGAATTTGAAGAGAGGCTAAGGACAGGGGAGCAATGGACGGTGAACACTGACTTCCGAATGAGACATTTGCGCAGGCGTCTCCGGTTTATGCAGTCCAGCCAGCACTCATTTCAGATATACATGGTGACGATGTTGAAATCTATATGTGAGGCTCAGGGCTTAGATGTTATTGATTATCAGCCTGCTGTATACCCTCATTCTGATGAGGAGGAAGCCTTTGAGGCAATGGCCCGGACTCACTATGCTGATCATGTGGATGGAGCTGCGCCTACTGATGGTGCTACATCTTCTCATGCTGCACCCACTCCAGAGAGACAGCCTGGTGTTGATGCTACTACCACAGAGACCACTGCTGCTGCTGCTGCTGCTGATACTGGTGCTATGGATGAGGACAGGGGTGTTGATCCTGAGTACAACCCCTTGCCTACTGCTGATCCAGGCTCATATTTGGTGTTTAGTGATGATGACGAGTCTACTGATTAGACTTCTTATTTTGTTTTTATACATTTTCTGTTTTATGGTTTTATTTTGGATATTTTTAGTTGATTGTGGTATTATTTTCATTTTGTATATTTGTTAGTACATTGAGATTCTCTGTTTGAATGATGCACTTTTAAATAGTACTGATGCTATTTGTTGATATGTGAATGTGTTTCAGAAATTGTCAACTGCTTTTTAGATTTAAATTAGTTGCTGGGGACAGCAACGTTTAAATCTGGGAATGGGGTGTGAATGAATGACATGATTATGGTGGAATCACACAGTTGATGATGACACACAGTTGATGAGCCACAAACAGGGAAACATCTCAATCCTTTCTTTTAAAATTCTTGTGAATATAGTTTTAGGTAGTTTAGGAAGTGTTTTATATGTACAAAGGTTGGATTTAGAGTTGAGATGATGTGAATTTTATGAGGATAGGATGATCAAAGTTTTACATGATGGATTAAACATTTGTTGATGCAATTTGAAATCCCTGCATATGTGCTAAATGATATGTTTGCATGACTCATGTTATGTGAGGAGTAGAGAGATCAGGTTGATGTATATAGAGGAATTCAAGCATGCACTCTGAACTGTGAGACATTGAGCCTATACAGAAATTTTTTTGTTCAGAGAGCACTTCACTGTATGAGTAACTCTAGAACTTGCCCTGTTTCTAACTTGAAATAGTTCATGGTTTGTAAAGTAGAGCTCATTGAGGCATTTTTCTTTTGAACCAAATTTTCTTATTGCATGGAAGCCTTAAGCCAGAATTTTTGTGATAATAAGAGCCCTGCACTTATTCCAGATCCTAAATTTTCAGATTATGTGTTCAGATAAGGGGTAAGGAGGAAGGCTCTGTAGGAAAGGTGTTTCTGCAATGAACAAAAATATTAAGTGTTAAGTGTTGGAAATTTGGAGAAAAAGAAGAATGCAATAAAAAAAAAAGGGAAATGAGGAAGTAAAGGCACAAAGTGCTTGGTTTGGAAAAGGAAAAGAAAAAGGAAATGAGGAAAAAGGGAAATCAAAACAACACAAAGTGTTGAAAGTTGGAAGAAAAGGAGGAAGGAAGTTCAAGAAAAAGAAAAGTTGTAGAAAAGGTGGTGAAAAGAGCAAATGAAAAGGAAGAAGAGAATGAGAAGGATTAAGGAGTACATAGATAAATTCACTAGTGATCCTCCTCTTATCTGAATCTGATCCATTTATCTAACCTTCTGCAACATCAAATCCTACCTTTAGCCAACTACATGTCAAGCCATTTTTCCTTCTTCTATACAGAATCCTATTCTTAGTCAAGTCATACTACCAAAGCCTCTTTTGCTCTGCTTATGAATCACTGTAACTATGGGAAGTGAGAAGATGGGCAAGCTTATAGTAGTTTGAGTGCAGTGGAGATTGAGTGATGAGTACACCCTTAGACACTAGAGTGCAAGAGAGTTTATTCTCACAATTTTTGAGAAGTTCCAAGTGAGGGGGTGTTTTGTGTTGAAGGTCTCTGCATTTCATCTTACTGATCTGTTGAAAGTCATTGTAATGAGGTTAAGCAAGTCATAGTAAAAGATAGATTGCTGGGTTGTTAGATTGTATCTTGGAAAGTTGATCTGTCATATTTCAATCCAACCTCATAAATTTCATGTGTAAAGAATCTCAAGTCTTTCTCTGTCTTTAAAGTTATTGCTGAGGACAGCAATATTCAAATCTGGGAATTGTGATGAACCCTTAGTTCATCATGGTTTTTAGCAGGAATTAGGATCAAATTGTGTGATTAAATGATGAAAAACAAGGTTAATGTCCTAAGATGTCCTCAATTACAAGTTCAAGAGCTTTATTGGAAATTTGTATGATTCTTGTAGGAAAAGCAAGCTTGAAAGACAACTGGAGAAGGAAGAAGATTCTGGAGCTCAAGAGGAGAAAAATTGCCTAAGTGTTGAGCGCTAAAACGTCCACACTGAGCGTTTTAGCGCCCTGTTACAGGAAGAGGCCAAAACTTGCTGGTGATGAGCGCTAAAACGTCCACACAGAGCGTTTTAGCGCGCTGCTACACTAAGAAGATGGAAAATTGCTGGTCTTGGACGCTAAAACGGCCTGCAATATGCGTTTTAGCGCCCTAAAGTGGAAAAAGATTCTGGTCTTCACCGCTAAAACGTCCAAATCAAACGTTTTAGCGTTGGAGTCAGTTAAAGTTAGTTGAGCATTCACCAAGTTTGGACGCTAAAACGGTCATTCCTTAACGTTTTAGCGTTGAAATCAGTTAAAAGCAGTTGAGCATACGTAAAGCATGGACGCTAAAACGGCCACTTATGGACGTTTTAGCGCCCACATCAGTTTTCTGTTTTTAATTGTAACACTATATAAGGCAAAGCCTTGACACTTAGAGGAGAATCTTGGGGGATCTGACTCTCTCTCTCTCTCTCTCTTAAACTTAGTCTGACTTCTCTCTAAATTCTTTTAGTTTTTGTATTAGGATTTCCTTGTAATAGTTTGGAGATTGAAGACTTTCAACATGGAAATGAAGTTTGCTTCTTCTTCTCTTATTTATTCCTTAGTCATGTCTGAGTAGAGTCTTTGTAGTCTGAATGCAATGGAACTCCATGATAATATTATGTTGATTTGATTAATATGATGAAGTATTTTTCATGTGCTGATTTGAGATTTTCTGAGTTAATTATTTCTATCAATGAAGTAGTATAGAACAGGGATGTTTATATGACTTCTGTATTTGATAATCTCAACATCAGAATTCTAGTACTCAAGGGATTGATGCTAGAGTTCTGATGTAATCTTAAAACCTTAGTATTTCATGCATGTATTAAGAAAGAAATCACCAAGGGATTGGGGTTTCTGATTAATGTTTCTATCAGGGTAGTAAGGGATTACATCTTGATGATAAGTAAAAGGTTGATTAACACCACATGGAAAGGAATTCATCATATGATCAATTCTTATATGGTTTATCATGGAGGAAAGTTGTTTTCTGACTACTTGTTGTTTTTATTAATTCCTAATCCATATTTACTTGTGTCAATTTACTCAAAATCAATTTTCTGGTGACAAATTATTCATGATTTTTACAAACTCTTATTTGATTCAAATTAGTTTTCTATGGTATATTGGTGTTTGAACACAACACAATTCCTCGACTAGTGCACTTGAACGTGGATGCTAACAACTTCGAGCTCAAACCCGCATTGGTACAGTTGGTTCAGAAAGAACGATTTTCTAGAGGGAGCACAGAAGATCCTTATTTGCATCTGGAGAACTTCGTGCTTTTATGCGATACTCTTAAGATGAACGGAGTTACTCGGGATGCTATCTTGCTCAGACTTTTTACACACTCTCTGAAGGATGATGCTAGAAGATGACTACAGTCACTACCCCAAGGAAGCATCACCAACATGGATGATCTGCAAGTAAAATTCTTAGCCCGGTTCTTTTCATCTTCAAAATGGGCTAAATTTAAGGAAGACATATCGACATTCAAACAAAAAGAGATAGAATCTCTTTATAAGGCTTTGGAGAGATTCAAGGGATTGCTCAGAAAGTGCCCACAACATGGTTTCTTCCAAGGGATGACGCCTAACAATAGAACTCTAGTCAATGTTGTAGCTGAAGGTTCTTTGAAGACGAAAACTCCTGAGGAGGCATTGAAATTACTTGAATCTCTTGCTTCTCAGGAGTTTTACAATGCTCCAGTGCAAGATAGAATAGTTGGAATAATGAAGCTGGAAGGTTATGATGCATTATTGGCACAGAATGAGTAGATATTGAAAATGATCAAGATGCAACAACAACAATTGGATGCCCTCACAAAGCAGTTCACAAACTTCCAAGTCTCTTTTGTCAATACTCCTCTAGTTAGTTATGGAATTTGTGCAAGTGCTCATGCTACAGAAGAATTTTAAATTACATTCAAGGTGCAAATGCCTTCAAGGAGGACACCTCTCCCTTTATGAACGAGACAAGGACTTCATTCCAGAATCAAGAATCTGCTATCCGAAATCAAGAAGCTTCCATCAAAAATCAAGAAACTCAGATTGGCCAATTGCCAAGACAGATTGCTGAGAGAGCTCAGGTTACTTTCTGAAGTGACACTGTCACTAACCCCAGAGAACATTGCAAGGCCATTTCAACAAGAAGCAGAATTGTTACTCAGCCTATAGAGAAGCCTTCTGTTGAAAAAAAAAAGATGGAGAGTTTGGGGTTGAAAAAGAAAAGCTAGAGGAAAAGAAGAGTGTTGTTAAAGCTGAGATGAGCACTCCAGAAAAGAAGCAGTTCAAATGGGAGAAGAAAGCTCTTGAAAGGCAAGAAAAGCCTTGGGCTTTTTTTTAATCATTATCACAAGCTCAAAATACCTTCCTTTTAACAAATATGTCAGTAGATATTACACAATCAATCACATCAAAGCAATTTTTTTCTTGATTTAGTTAAATAAACTGTTTTGCCAATAGAAAAACACTTTTAACTTCTGTAAAATAAAAATTAAATGTTGTTCTATTTGATTAATAAGGTTGATCACTTAGAAATTAAAAAAGAAAATACATTCTAATTTATTAAAGATGAGGGCCAAATCTGAAAATTTAAAATTTCACTCTTAGAATAATGATGGTGTGCTGCCACTACACAAACCCAATACCCCGTCTTAATTTTTGGTGACGAGTGTAGTCACATTTTGTGATGAGATTGGCATGTGGCGTCACCTAATTTGATGCAAGTAGTGCCGTTAACTTAGGTGACAAGACTCAAGCAACTCATGCACACTTTGCTGACGTGGACAACAGTCGCGTCAATATTGTTGTCGAGACTCAACTCGTCATGTCAGGTGATGCGTTTGGCTACTCTAGTATGGAAAAACTTCCTAAATGTGCTTTGAACTAGACAAATTTTTGCATAATCTTCGTAGTACGGTGCTTTTGCCGGTTCATTGAGATCATTTCGTTTCTTATTACTATCATATGCTCTTTTTTTCCTTCTCTTTGCATGTTTGTATGTGTGAGTTCATGATTTTTCGAGTTTGAGACCGGGATATGATGCATCTGGTGCAGAAAATATAATAACACCGGAAATATCATCGGCGGGGTACTTGTCGTTGGTGGGCAACCTTGACATACGAGTTGATTTGGACAAGAGCATTAAACCGGAGGATTCCAGGTACAAAAGGTTGCTGTCTATGATGTGTTCCAAATTATCTTAAGGGGGCGTTTGGTTAAGGAGAAATATTATGAATAATAGGGAAATGTTATGTATAGGGAAATGGGTGGAAAATGAGATGGGTAGGAAAATGTAAGAAAAAGTTGTTTGGTTAGAAAAAATTTTACAGGGAAAATTAGATAATTTTTGTAAAGTCTATGTTTGGCTGTAGGTAACATATAGATGGGAAAATGCAGTGGGTATTACAAAAATAACCCTGACTTTACAGATGGAAAAACGGTTCAACAATAGAGGGAAAAACCGTTCAAGAAGGCCTGTGGAAGTTTTGAAACCAACAACAATAGCAACAAACACACAAACATGTAATGGATGAGCATGCTTTCTTCACAGAGCCTTCTGCTATTATGAAAAGCTTCTCTGCTTCATCTCTGCATGAGAGCCTTCATGGCAACTCACATCACTGACTATGAAGGTACGCTGGTAAGAGGAGGGTACTCTGGTCATCTGCCTCTTGTCCACTCTGATATTTACATAGATAACATGCAATACCACATTGCAAATGGGAAAATTTTGCTGGGTATTTGGATCAGATACACATGCAAATTGTTAAGATGGGGTAATGATTTAGGTGGGCATTTCTTCAAAAAGCTTCAACCAAACATGGGCACTCACTAATCCTAGCTCTCAAATGTCTATGCATCTTCTTAAAATCCTCCAACCAAACACCCCCTAAGAAAATGAACAATTCATTAGTAACGCAGGTAGAAATCATTGGGATGTAAGTTCGGTACATAATTTTTATATATGCATTGGTTGGTTTGTGATTTTAAACTACAGAAGTTGTCCTTTTAATTTTTAACACTATGTATTAATGGGTAATACATAATTATAATATGAAAATTCATTTTATTTTTCTCTTTCTTCATTCACTTCAGCTGACTTGAAGAGAGAAAAAAATAAACTTTTCATATTATAACTATATACAATTCGTAATATATAATGTAAAAAATTAAAAAAAATAACTTATGTCCTCTAAAAGATACACACTTAACTCATATTTTAATAAGAGACAATAGCAACTTCTCTTATTTTGGTTAATTATTTGGATAACCAATTCGGTTTTACAGTTTTTTTTCTCCCTGTTATAATAGGACTGCAGATGGATTTCTTAGGGCTAATACGACACCTTCTTGAATGGTAAGCAATGCGTGCTTTTTATATCTTTATTAGAAGACACAAAATATATAGATCGGTAAATCATCTATTAGTCTAACACTAGAAATAATTTTTGCTAAAGTGCATCAATCATATGAAGAACAGGAAGCAAATGCATGTGTCGCAGAAATTACTATATATTGGCATATTGATTTCTCTTATAAAGTGAAACTATATATGATCCTTTATAGTGAAATTAAGAACCTATATAGTGGACTAAGATTCGCTGCAATTTTTTTCTTAAACTGTATAACATCTGATCCCTTAAAATAGTTTATTTTTATACTAAAATATTAAGTAAATTAGTTGAGAAATTTTTATGTATACAAAAATAGTGTAATCATATAAAAACTCTAGAGAATTTGTTATCCTACATGGTGTAATTACATTAGAAGTGAACAAATATAAAATTGCCAAAGTTTAAATTCTGATCAATTGTTTATACTATTATCTAATTATGTGTTCCCATAACATTTAAAATTTTGATTATCGGACAACGCATATTTAATGATACAGTAAAAAGTTGTATTAACAATTAAGTGCCTGTTTTGATGTGATGTACAAAGTCTGATAGTGCAAGTTTATACTATATGTTACGATATTTTTAGTTGTTTGGTGTGACCATCGTATAATATAAGTTTATACAGCAGGATTCCTTTATATATTAAAATGATGTATAACTTATAATCAGGCCTAAGAGAGGAGGATTAGACATGATAAGAGGTTGATGTATTAACCAATGCAATTATCAAGAATTAGTATATTATTTTAATATTAGTATATTAAAATAAAAAAAATTATTAATATATAATTTTTTAAAATTGGAGATTTTTATTTTATAAAATTAATATTTTTTTTGGACACACTGATCAACATATTTCTATAAAAAATAATATCATCTGATATATTTGGAAGAATTATGTAAATTCATTATTAAAAGGTATTTTTGACAAAAATATTTATTTTTAACCTATATAGTATTATACAATGTATTACTAAATATTTGATGATATTATCTTATACAATATATTTAATATCTTATACAATATATTATCTTATACAATATCATGCCAAACGTTAAATAATATTAAAATTTAATCAAGTCTTATATAATTATACCTGATACTATCACTTCTTATACTATTAAGCTTTATCATATATATATATATATATATATATATATATATATATATATATATATACCAAATATGCCTTAAGATTTTTTTTTTGGCATGAAAGATAAAATTAAATAATAAAAAGATAAAGCAGAAAGAGAAAATTGATTAACATTGCTTTGTTAAATCCGCCCTCATCGATTGGTCACATTTTGATTCCCTCATCCTTTGATTTGACACAGCAGCCTCTTAAACTTACACGTGTTTCTTTTTTCTTCCATATTTTGTCTATCACTGCTTAAAGTTAAAACTTCTTCTCTCATCCATGCAAATAAGAGAAACCGTTTGGCTAGGAAATTTATTTCAAAGTCATATTTATGAATTATGATCAACATGACTCCAGCATGAAAATGTTTGACTTCAATTAATTTCCCTGATTGATACTTAGCAAAGAATTCCATTTGCTAATAATTTAATAAAAGAAAAGGGAGTGAGAAAGAAATTGAAGAGCGAAATAATTTGGAAGGTTCCCCAAGTTAATTTTGTGATAACTTATTACAAATTTATTTTGTATATTTTGTCATCCGAATCTAAAATGTGGGAACAACTTGCTCTTTTAAAAATTAAAATTAGACTGGTTCGGTAAAATAATTTTCACACAGATACTCCTAAGTAATGAAAATAAAACAAGGAAAAACATTTGAATTAGGGTTTTTATGCTCCTTTAAATTAAAAAATAGTCCTTTCATTCATTCAATTTTTATTTGTATAATTCATTCATTTATTTCTTTATATTTTTAAAGTTAATATTTTTATAAGTTTTCTTCTATACTTTTTATTTTATGTATGCGCGTGTGCGTGTGCGTGCGCGTGCGAATTGTGACTCCCTTTCCCATGGTAAAATAACTCCATTTTAAAGGGAATATGAACAATGGCATGAGAATGGAAAATGAGTGTAGGTTGTTGGTGTGAGGGTGAAAGAGACCAATCCACATCCAACGACAGATACAGAGGTTGATGATGATAGAACAACGATAGTGTACAAGGTGGAAATGTTGCGTTATCTGCCAAGATGAAGAGGTGTGTTTCTCTTTCCCATAATGCAGCAAGGTGGATGGGAACGTTCCTATCTAATTAAATTGGCTTTGTCACCTACAATATACGGTGGGGCCAAAGTTGTTGGCAATCAGAGCAAGTATACATGTGATGTGATTAGAATTTGGAGTCATGAGGATCCCATATTCATACGTACATATTTTGTTGTCGCTTATTCTTTTTTCCCTTTTAATTTTAGTTTTATAAAAAACAAGCTCTTTATTTATCTATAGGTAACCGACAGTTACAAACATCAAACTTAGCGTTAGCATACAACTTATAATTAGACGTAGTTCTGCAAGTATGGGCAGTCTGAAATTTGAATTTTATCCATTTATTAAAATAAAGCCACAAGAAGTTGTATATTATCCCCTGACCTCTGGCTCAGGGGCACAACTTTTGTGCAGAATATTTTATTTATGAATTAAACTTCATCGGCAATGCAAACAAGTGATAACATTGGAGAGGAAATAAACAATTAGATAAGCAACTCCCTATTTCTCATAAAAATGATTAAAGATATATGTATACATGAATGCCTTATATAAAAAATTGCAAAAAAATAAAATAAAATAAAATAAAAATAAAGTAAAAAAGATGAAATGCTCAACCCAAACCCAGTCTCTTATTTTTCCTTTTTTTTTTAAAGAGTGTGCAACCATCAAATCAAGGAGTGCCATAATTAATAACTAGGCATCTAGTTTATGAGTGACAACCGAAACCAAATGTTGCCGGGATTTTAGAATGCTAAAAAGTATGCACAACACGAACATTCTCACCCCTTTATGTCACATGTAGATAAGAGGTTTTTATTGGGGAAACATAATTAATGGGAAAAAAAAGTAGAAAAAAAAGTTTGATGAAAAAGTTTAAAAAATGATGTTTGGTTCACCGAAATATTATCGGAGAAATTTATGTAAATTTACAAAGTCTATGTTTGATTGAATATAAAATAGTGATGAAAAAATTGGTTGAATTGAACAATTATCAATATTTTTTAAACAAACCACTACCTAAAAATGAGAGTCCAACATCAATAACTTGATTTTCTTAAATATCACTTCCCCACCTATCCTAAAATACCACATCCAAAGTGGTATTTGTGAATAGTTAGTTTGAGCAAAAACAACAACACAAATCTAATTGCCTAGGCTTCCTGTTTAGCTAGTCTTTTTTTTTTTCAAAACTTGAATCAAACATGGTCTTTTTCAATACCACCCATATTTTCCCATTAAACTCAAATGAAAACCTATACCAAACACACCCAAGGGTTGTTTGGTATGAAGATTTTGATAGAATCCTTGTAAAAGTGGGGTGGGGAAAAAATGTTTATCATGTTTGATATGAGATAAGATAAAAAATATGACATAGGCCGACCTGTAGGCTTATAAGCCATATATGTACAAAAAAAGCCTATGACCTATTTTTTAAATAGGTATTTTTTAAAGCCTAGGCCTATTCTATTTTACTATTTATAATAGGCCAAGTCTGGCCTAATATAGGCTAGGCCGTAGGCCCCTGTAGGCAGTCTAGCCCATTTATACCCCTAATTGCAGTACTTCGATGTACGAAAATTGCAAAACCATTACAGTATCAAAACCATTTCAGTATGTTGATGATTGCAGCAGAGGATAGAAACGGAAGGAGAGAAAAAGGGTGAGGGGAGTGGGAGAGAAAATGGTGTAAAAGGGTTGATTTTATACCATTAATCATTACTATTGGATGATATTATAATCTAACGGTGTTGAGAGAGGTAGACGAAATGAGAGTGGGCAGAGTAACCTATCCCTGTAAAATAATAAAAAAAAATCTGGCTCTTCGATCAGCTATAACACAATTCGCTAGAGTTAGTGGAATAAAACCTAAAAAAATACTCTATTGTAAAGAGGACTCAGGGAATTAAGGCCTTTAAAGTTGGCCCATAAATTATAACTCATTTTGACACTTCGATGAGCGAGATGATCAAATAATGAACGTTATGAATACCATAAATCTGAACTCCAGTCCCTTTTGTTGCAATATAAGGTTCTGTGTGACACAATAATTCAAACAAATAATCTTCTTGCTTATTCCCTTTGCAAAGCCATATCGTGAAGCTATGGTTTCCGAACAACCATTCGGTTGGAATTACATGTTGCTGAAGCCAGAAGAGGCGAGTCTTGTGGATCTAGGGCGCCTTTTGTTTACGTCTAACTTAAACAGCATAAGATTCATTGAGTGCCCAGAAGGACTCGAGGTAAAAGAATTTTGGCAAAGAGAGCTCTTCTTCATCTCTGTTGTTCTGCAGAAGGTTCTCCTTACCTCAGGAAACTCAATGAAAAGGGTAGGGGACATGTTGGAGTTGTGGCTCAATCGTCTATCATGTAATGGAGGGTTAATTGGGCTCTTTCTGAACATTCTAAGAGGTTCATTTAGATCATTTCTTTTCTCATTATTATCATTTGCTCTCTTTTTTCCTTCTCTTTTTTTTTTTATTTTTATTTTATAATATCATAACTAACATTTGATAAAGTCTTTGCATGTTTGTATGTGTGAATTCATGATTTTTCGAGTTTGAGACCGGGATGTGATGCATCTGGTGCAGAAAATATGATAACACCGGAAAGATCATCGGCGGCGTACTTGTCGTTGGTGGGCAACCTTGATATACGAGTTGATTTGGACAGGAGCATTAAACCGGAGGATGCCAGGTACAAAGGGATGCTGTCTATGATGTGTTCCAAATTATCGTACGAGAATGAACAATTCATTAGTAACGCAGTCAGAAGTCATTGGGATGTAAGTTCTGTACGTAGTTTTTGTATATGCATTGGTTGCCTCCATTAATGTACTTGCTAAATAGAAGAACTAATATTTTAAGAGACACAGGTTTGTGCTTTTTGGAGCGTTTTGATATAAGATATATTTTTTTATCGGAAAAAAAAGATTTTTGGAAATAAAACGAGAAACATTTTTGTCCGGCCAAAAAAATTGGATTGACTTTACTGATATTATATTTAGTTGGTATTAAAATATTGATGGAATTATGAAATAAAATGACAAAATTATCCTTTCTTTTTGTGAACTTTTGCCTTAAATTTATTACACCCAAAATAATGAACAACATTGTTATCAAAAAATAATAATAATAAGAGTAAACACCCTTTTTAGTCCCTGGCAATATCTACGAAGTCCTCTTCAGTCCCTGGCAATAAAAAAGGACCAAATTGGTCCCTGAAAGTACAAGAAAAGGGCCATTCTACATATTTGGGAGTTGACATAAGGACTAACATGACCCTTTTTTTGTAATTTCAGGGACCAATTTGGTCCTTTTTTATTGCCAGGGACTAAAAAGGACTTCGTAGATATTGACAGGGACTAAAAAGGATGTTTACTCTAATAATAATGAACAACATTGAGGTATTGTACTATTATAATTATTTCTTTTTATTTTATTCATTAATATCACAAAATTTTTAGTCTCATACATTAGTAATTAAACAACTAACTTCGCAAAACATAAAATAAAAATATGACTCAACTGGTTACAATATATTATTGTGATTGTACTATTCCTTAATATGCATTGAATCTGAGTACATGGAAAAAAAAACCATGAGTGGGATTGTATTGTATTGAGTTTAAGGAATGTGTAGTTAAAAAAAAAAAAAAGATGGAGAAAAATGTTTGCTGGGATTATTTCCCTTTTACCCGTACCAAACATGGGAAAAACATTTTCCCCCACCCAGTTTCCCAGCATTTCAATCAAATAAATACCAAACACTTCCTAATAAATCACCATCGTGTCATTTTTATTTTTAATATTACGTAGTGTGGGTAGTAAATAGTTATAATATGAAAAGTTGATTTTTTCTTTCTTTCTTTAGTCACTTCAGCTAATGTGGAGAGAGAAAAAAAGCAACTTAATTTTCACAATATAATTACATATTACATGTAGTATATAATTTAAAAAATTTTAAAAACACAACTTATATCCTTTAGAAGGACACACACTTAACCCATATTTTAATAAGAGACAATAGAAACTTCTCTTATTTTGGTTAATTATTTGTATGACAAATTCAGTTTTACAGTGTTTTTTGTTTCCTTCTTTCTTTTTTCCTGTTATAATATGATTGCAGATGGATTTCTTAGGGCGATACGACACCTTCTGGAACGGTAAGCAATGCATCCTTTTTATATCTTTCTTAGAAGACACAAAATATATAGATCGCTAACACTAGAAATATTTTTTTGCTAAGTTGATTTTTCTGAAATTAAACTAGCATTGTGAAAGTGCATCAATCATATGAAGAACAGGAAGCAAATGCATGTGTAGCATAAATTACTGTATATTGGCGTATTGATTTCTCTATTATAAAGTGAAACTATGATCCTTTATATTGAAATTAAGAACCTATATAGTGGACTAAGATTCGCTCCAATTTCTGTATAGAATCTGATCTCTTAAAATAGTTTATTTTTGAGAAAAGTGTTTGTCATTTTAAATGACATAAAGTTATGTCACTTTAAGAAAGAGATAGACATAATAAAATATTTTTTATTTAAAATTTAAATTAAAAAAAAACTACTCACTTTCTCTCCCATGATTTTCATTCCTTGTATCTATCTCTCTTAAAATTATATAACTTATGTCATTTAAAATGACAAACACCAAACCTTTTATTTTTATACTAAAATATTATGTAAATTAGTTGAGAAATTTTTATGTATAAAAAAATAGTGTTCTAGAGAATTTCAACTGCAAATATTTAAAAAGGACTAAAAAGTTCTTTTAAAAAAAGTAACTCATAAAAAGTCATTTTATCAAAAGCTCATCCATAAAAATAAAAAGTTTAGGGTGAAAATAATAATTACAAATATGCATTCTATGTAGAGAATTTCATCTCTCTTATTTAAGGAGGCGATTGGTAGAAGATAATTTTTTTTTTTACCCGAGAATCACACGTGATTCTCGAAATATAATGGAAAAGTTAATTTTCCAGGAATGTTACTAAAAAGCTGTTTGGTAAGCCAAAATATTACTGGAAATATCAATTCAAGTTTCCCAATTCATGTTTGTTTAATTGTCAAATATTCCTACAAATATGGGATAATTTTACGAAACTAACCTCCACTTTTCGACTTTTCAGTCATGATTCAAAATAAAAATACAGAGCTCAGAGAAAACAAGCATAAATATAGATCTTCCAAACTTCTTCAAACACAAGAGAGACAAGGTCGATAAGAAACATTACCTCAAAGTTCAACTCTATCGAATCCCATCATTCTTATGAACTGAAAATTCTCATTATTAAAAAGGTCATTACAACAATAAGGAATTACTCCTTATATACAAATACAAGAAAGGAAAGCTTGCGTAAAGGATCTAACTAACTAACTAACTAACTGATATGTGATTAAATAACTAAACTCAGCCAACTAATCAAAATAACAGATTAACAAGAGTTAGTTGGAGAGATTGTGTCCACGTGGTCATGAGCTGGTTGATCTTCTGAAATGGATGTCAACATCCCCCCGCAAGTGGGACTGTAGATGTTCTGAAGTCCTAACTTGGAAAGGTTGAGACGAAATGGATTGGCAAAGAGTGTCTTAGTGAACATATCGGCCAGCTGATCAGAAGAGGAAACCGGAAGAAGGTGGATGAGCTTGGTAACAATTTTCTCACGAACATGTGGCAATCAATCTCCACATGCTTCGTGCGCTCATGAAAGATGGGTTGTGTGCAAGATAAATAGCAGAAGCATTGTCACAGTAAACGGAAGCTGGTTGGGCTGGAGGAAGATGCAAGGCATGCAGTAAATAAGTGACCCATTGTAGTTCACATGTAAGGCTGGCTAAGGCCCTGTATTCTGCTTCACAAGAAGAACGAGATACAATAGTTTGTTTTTTTTTCCACGAGATCAAAGCATTACCAAGGAAAACACAATGACCCGTGACAGAACGCCTGGTGTCAAGGCAGCATGCCCAATCCGAATCAGAGTAACCAGTAAGTTTCAGGTTGTTTGAAGCTGGGAAGAACAAACCTAGACCTGGAGAACCTTTAATGTAACGAAGGATACGATGTGCTGCAGGTTGATGAACATCCGTTAGGGAAGATACAAACTGGCTTAATTGCTGCACTGAAAAACATAAGTCAGGTCTCGTGGTAGTGAGATAAAGAAGGCGACCAACAAGGCGACGAAAGGAAGAAGCATCTTCCAATAATGAACCTGAAGTACGACTAAGCTTGATGAGAGGATCCAATGGAGTTGTGGAAGGGTTAGCAGCAAGCATGCCACTATCAGAAAGAAGCTCAAGAGCATACTTGCGTTGATTGAGAATGATGCCATTTATGGAACGTGAAATCTCCAGTCCAAGAAAGAACCGTAAGTCTCCGAGGTCTTTGATTCGGAATTGTTGATCAAGGAAAGATTTAACACGCTTAATCTCTTTGATGTCATTACCAGTGAGCACGATATCATCCACATAAATTAACAGTGCTGTAAAAAATGTGCCTCGATGAATTGTAAAGAGAGAATGGTCAGCAGTTGATTGAATGTATCCCAAAGAACATAAAGCGGAAGTGAGTTTAGAGTGCCACTGTCGGCTGGCTTGCTTAAGGCCATAGAGAGATTTCGTTAATCGACAAACCTGATTGGGATGTTTATTGGTGACCCCAGGAGGTAGCTTCATGTACACCTCTTCATGTAAATCGCCATGCAAGAAGACGTTATTAACATCTAACTGCTCGAGGAACCAGTTCCATGCAGCAGCAATGGATAAAAGAACACGTATAGTTGTGAGTTTGGCAACTGGGGAAAACGTGTTGAAGTAATCTATTCTGTCAATCTGAGTGTAGCCCTTGGCTACCAGCCTTGCCTTATGGCGTTCAATGGAGCCGTCAGCATTGAATTTGGTTTTATAAACCCATTTGTAGCCAATAGGTGTTTTTCCCGAACGTAAATCAACAAGGTGCCAAGTATGATTTAGTTCGAGTGCATCAAGTTCTGCCTTCATGGCCTGTTGCCAGCAGATCTGTTTCATAGCTTGGTTATAAGTTTTGGGTTCTACCTGAGTGGATATATTGAGACAAAATTTCCGGAGTTTGGGAGAGCAAAGTTTATAAGAGTGGACATTATCTAAAGGAAACCTGACAGATGGTTTGGTTATGGTGAGATGGCAATGATAGTCATGGAGATAAGAAGGTGGATTTTGAGGTCGAGTGGATCTACGGGTTATGGGTAGTGGGTTATTAGGAGAGGGTATGGACATTGTATGCTGTGAGGTGTCATTAGGAGAGGGTATGGAAAGTGCATGCTGTGAGGTGTCAACAACTGGAATGGGAGCTGGATGTACATGTTGTGAGGTGTCAACAACTGGAACAGGAGCTGGATTAGGTGGCATGGGCGTTGGGTTAAGAACTGTGCTGTAATCAGGATAGGATGGAAATTGATGTGAGGTGTCAGCATGAGAGGATGGTTGTGTAGTAGGTTTATAGGAAAAGGGAAATGTGAATTCATAGAAAATGGTTTTTCTGGAAATAAAGATTTGCATGGAAGATAGATCATACAAGATATGTCCTTTGGTTCCAATGGGGTTGCCAAGATATAAAAATTTTCTGGCACGGGACGAAAGCTTGTATCTTGTGGAAGGCAAGGTGGAGGCATATGTGAGGCAACCAAAGGTACGAAAGTTCATGAGGGTGGGAGTTTTCTGGTAGAGAATTTCATATGGGCATTTATGTTGAAGTAATGAGGTGGGCAATCTATTTATCAGAAAGAGTGAGTGTAGAATGGCATAAGGCCCTAGTGACATTCAAGATATGCTGGTGCTTACGCTCCACTAAACCGTTTTGCTGTGGAGTTTCAACACAACAGGTTTGATGAGCTATTCCTTTTTGGTCATAAAAGTCAGTCATCATAAACTCCTTTCCATTGTCAGTGCAAATGGATTTTGGTGAAGTGCCAAATTGATTTTCAATGAAGAAAATAAAATGCTGAAGAAATTTTCTGGTTTCACTTTTGTTAGCCATGAGCTTAACCCATGTATATCGGGAAAAGTCATCTACAATAGTGAGGAAGTATTTATGTCCATGAATTGAAGAAGTAGAAAATGAACCCCAGATGTCAATGTGAAACAATTCAAAGCATTTAGCTGTCTGTGAGGTACTCAAGGGAAAAAGAAGCCTTTTATGTCTAGCAAAGTGACATATGTCACATGGCTTTACAGGAATTTTGGAAATAAAAGGAAAACGTGATGAAAGCTGCTGCAAAGATGTTTATGAAATGTGGCATAAACGTAGGTGCCACAACAATGAGTCAAAAACTTTATTACAATTCAAAGTAAAGCACTTTTGCAATGTGAATTTTGAAGCATAGAAGAGTCCATTGTGTATAAGCCATTCTTCTGTTTAGCTGTACCAATCATCTTCAATGAATGGTTCTGCTTAATCAAACAATGTGAGGCCTGAAATATTAGAAAGCAATCTATATCTGCCATTAGCTTTGTGACAGAAATCAAGTTAACTTTGAAATCTGGTATATATAAGACATTCTTCAAGGTAATGTCAGATGTAATATGAATAATACCGGAAAATGAAGTAATCACTCGAGCACCATTTGGAAGATTAACAAGAATTGGAGGAATCTTGTTAATTTGAGAAAAAAGGGAAGAAACATGAGTTATGTGATCTATTGCTCCTGAATCTAGGAGCCATTGAACAGAAGTCATACCTGTCATGGACTGAGGTATTGCTTCTTTCATTGAGGCCTCTGCCATATTGGTTGAATGGGCAGGCTGTGAGTGTTGCAAGAAAGCCAAGAAATTGTTATACTGATCCTTTGAAATTGAGACTGCCTCATGAGCTAGATTTGCTGCTGTGTCATTGTCATCAGCAGAATGAAGTATGTTATTTGCATTGTGCTGCTGCTGGAAATTCTGAGATCGATATCCTTGAGGGAATCCATGCTTGAAATAGCATGTATCGATTGTATGGTTTGTTTTCTTGCAGTGAGTACAATATTTGGTTCCTGTACTTTGTTCTCTACCAGGATTCGTGCGCTCTTTGCCTTTGTTGGAGAAGTTGCGATCACGATTAAATCCTCCTGAAGAGCTTGCATAGATCTTGGTTTCATTAGCATTATCATCATGAGATGGAGATCTAAATTGACGTTCTTGCTGCACAACTAAAGAAAAGGATCTGTTAATATCTGGGAGAGGATTCATCAACATAATTTGGGAGCGGACACGAGAGAACTCATCATTAAGGCCTTTCAAGAAACTGATAACATAGTCAGCGTCTCTGTATGCTCGCATCTGAGCTAGTGTGCCACATGTGCAAGGAGGGAGTGGCTTGAGGTTGTTCAACTCATCTCATAAAGTCTTCAGATTTGTGAAATACTCGGTTATAGGTCTATCTCCTTGATGCATTTTGGAAATTTCCTCCTGCAAATCTGATATTCTAAACATGTCAGATTGTGAAAAGCGATCTCGTAAATCACTCCAAACCTCATTGGCTTTGTCGATCCAGAGGATGGACTGAACAATCATTTCTGAAATTGAATGGTGGAGCCAAGCTAACACCATAGTGTTGCATCTGTCCCACGCTGGGTACATTGGATCTTCTTCCGGTGGGGAAAGAATGGTGCCATTAACAAAAGGTAATTTGTTCTTCGATCTCAGAGCTACTGTCATAGCACGCGACCATGTGTGGTAATTTCTTCCATTGAACAGTGGAGAAACAAGAACCAAAGAAAGAGATTCATTTGGATGGAGGAAAAAAGGATCAGAAAGTTGATTTTGAACAGGGTTCGGGTTTGCCATTATTGAAAGAAAGAGAGAAAGAATGGATCAGGGTTTGTAATCTGATACCATCTTACGAACTGAAAATTCTCATTATTAAAAAGGTCATTACAACAATAAGGAATTACTCCTTATATACAAATACAAGAAAGGAAAGCTTACGTAAAGGATCTAACTAACTAACTAATTGATATGTGATTAAATAACTAAACTCAGCCAACTAATCAAAATAACAGATTAACAAGAGTTAGTTGGAGAGATTGTGTCCACGTGGTCATGAGCTGGATGATCTTCTGAAATGGATGTCAACAATCATGAAGGCATAGTTCTTTTGCTTTCTTCTTCTTAGCGTGGTTATGTTCAAGCATGGCTGGGTGCTGAGACCAACTTGAAAATATTTTCATGAAAACAAAAAACAAAAACAAACTTGAAAGTACAATAAAATTTGTGAGATAAATTGTGTTATTTGGTTCCCACAAGCACAAATCAGTAACTGAACATATTCATCAGTAAAGCAAAATTATAAAATTCACAACAAAAAGAAGAAAGAATAGAGAGAAGCTGAGGAAGCAACAGCCGTGAGGGTATTTTTGTCACAAAAATGTTGAAAAATATTCCCACCAGGTGGGAATTCGAAAATATCACTCTATGGGTAGTATTTTTTCGTGGTATTCTAATAAGAGATTTACACGCAAAATTGAATCCAAAGAAAATCATTCTCCCAAGATTATTTTCTCAAATGTGTTATCAAACGTGATTTTATTAGAGTTCTACCAATCATTTTTCTGGGTATCTCAAAATAATCCTTCCACCAAACACCCCTGAAGGTAGTTCCGACCCAGATTTATCCTACCTCCAATACTTTTGGTACAACTTTCTTTTATATTTCTGGCTCTTTGCTTTGCAATACATGTTCACCATTGACATTAGTAAAGAGGCGAAAAATGGCTTGTTATTTAAGTTCAATGAATGTCATTTATTTCGCTTTTTTTTTCATTTCTTAAATAAAATTGTGTCTAGCTTATTAAAGTATTTATAACAGAAGGAGATAATTCTCCCTTAACTCAATAATCACTGGTTTTTTCTTTTCTTTTCCTATTCTCTATCTTTTTTTTATATGCCAGAAAGTTATACTTGCTTAATTAGGATAACCACAACTTATGTAAAACTTCTTTCAAATTAAGTTATTGGAATATTATTGATTGGTTACATTGAATTGCATAAATATGTCTGGCTTTTTCTTTCTTTTATTTAATACTTATATACATGTCATATATTTAATATACGGGAAATATAAATATTATATTATAGGAATGTGATTTTTGTTTTGCAACCCATTTATAACTATGTACTTTCTGAAATACATAATTGTAAATGGATTTCATGACAAAAAGGATGTCACATCCAACAGACCCTTAATATATTGTGGATAAACAAAGAAATTTGCAATCACAAATATCGTTTTGTCATTTAATTTTTGTATTTTATTTATCCCCTCTATTGGGACAAGTACTTGGATAACATCTTTTGCTGCAATAGGATTTGCTACATTTTTGAAAATCCCAGTGATCCAATGCAGATTACCAACATATCTGGTCCACACGGGCTATTATAGTGCGAGATACCAAGTCTGAACCCAACTTGATTGTGGTTGCATTTATGGGTACACAGCCGTTTGATGCGGATTCATGTAAAATAGATGTGGATATCTCATGGTATGAGGTGCCCAACATGGGTAAGATACATGGCGGGTTCATGAAAGCATTAGGTATGCAGAAGAATAGTGGATGGCCGACAACGATCGAGCAAAGCACCCAGCATCATTATGCTTATTATACAATCAGAGAGAAGTTGAAAGAAATATTGTTGGAGGCAAAAGAGGATACAAAATTCATATTGGCAGGGCACAGCTTCGGAGGATCCTTGGCCATTCTGGTTGTTGCATTGCTAGCATTTCACAAGGAGGAATGGCTATTGGATAGGTTAGAAGGGGTTTATACATTTGGGCAGTCAAAAGTAGGGGACCATCAATTTGGGGAGTTCATGAAAGCCATGTTGAGAAAGTATGACGTAAGATATATGAGGTATGTTTACAGCAATGACATGGTGCCTAGGATTCCTTATGATGGCAAAGGCATCTTCTTTAAGCACTTTGGTCCTTGTCTCTACTTCAACAGCTTGTACCGTGGGCAGGTATAAAATGTGAATAATGAATATGATTTCTCTTTCTCCAAAGTAGATGTTCAAATGTTGTGTTTCCTTTTTTCTTTACTACTTGAGCTGATATAGTCCAATTAAATAATTTTTTATATATTGAATTCCAGGTTCTAGGCGAGGCACCAGACAAGAATTATTTCTCTTTGTTATGCGTCACACCCAAGATCTTAAATGCATTTTGGGAGTTTATTAGAGGTTTCCTTCTCCCACTGGTTAAAGGCAAAGAATATAAATCAAGTTGGTTCATGGTGATGTTCAGGCTCTGTGGATTGATATTTCCAGGAGTACCAGCTCATCTTGTTACTGATTACATCAATGTTACCCGATTGGGATCCTTACACGAACTTCGGGAACTTGAAAGTCCACAACAATCCAAAGTTGACTGATACCAACGCTTGCGTGTGACCAGCAACTTATTCTACACATTTCGTTTCCTTGTTTTCCTTTTTCATTTTCGACGTTGAAATGTTCAATTATCATTTACTTTTAAGATAACTTTTGCCTAACTGTGGTGATGTGGAAAGAATTTAAGATATCCTGATACAAATAACATGTGGCATGCACCCATTCCCTAGATCCAGTGATTGTTGTCATATTCTAGTGTAAGTGGCATATCTACACAAAATTTTATGAGGCAAAATTAGAAAGAGATAGGAAACAAGAAAATTGTCGAAATCAAACTAGGAACAAACAACAAATTGAAGCATGGGTAGTTTTGAGAAGAAAAGAGTAAATTGCAGAGATTGTTGATCAATTTATTGTTGAATCCGAACTCGCAAGGGTGAGGAGGGTACCAGGGGCTTAGATTTGTCGAAAGTGCTGACATTGCAAAACCACTACTAGAAAAACATTCAATTAACCACATTTATAAAAATATCGCTAAAATTAAAATAAAAAAAACCCAAAACTGTTACGAAAGAGTCGTAGCAAATTGTTACCTTTCTTTAATTAATTTTCTTAATCAGAAAATTCCTTCTTTTTTTTCTTTTTTTTCCTGGATAATGCCTTCACTAACAAAAACACTAATATTTTCCCCCAATCCATCTTCTTTTCTTACTTTTTCTGTTCTTTTCTTTGCAATCATGGGTTAGGGCTTCCAATAGAGACTTTGCTTATCAATTACACAGAGCAGATTCTCTCTCTATTTTTTTTATGCTTGATCTCCTATCATCTCGTTGCTTTATTTGCAAATAATTGGAGCTAAGTGGCTTCAATTGAAGAAGTAATCATTCTCTCTCTCCTGTCTCAAGAATAGAGTAATTTTATTTTTGAATACTTTGTCCCGATTTGAGGTACACGTTAAAGTTTAAACCATTAATTTATGCATCAAATGCATCAATTGGTCTCATCTTCTTAGTGGCTTCAATTAAAGAAGTAATCATTCTCTCTCTCCTGTCTCAAGAATAGAGTAATTTTATTTTCGAATACTTTGTCCCGATTTGAGGTACACGTTAAAGTTTAAACCATTAATTTATGCATCAAATGCATTAATTGATCTCCTCTTCTTCCTTTTGATGACTTTCTCACTAGCGCTCGCATACTCTCTCCTTTATCGAGGTACGAATGTCGTGTCTTACTAATTTTTAGGTTCTAGAGTTTTGAAATTTTAGGGATTGCTGAGGATTCAATTTTATTGTCATCATAATGTGTGCGTGTGTGTGTGTGTGTGTGTAGGAAATGGTTGCAGTTGTTATTCAAGATGATTTTAAGGCTGGTTCACTATCTATTTGAAGTGGTAATGTTAATATGTTGGGGTCATCCTTTACAGTGATTATCTGTTCAAGCTCTTCTTTATTGGAGACTCTAGTGTTGATAAATTATGTCTTCTTCTGAGGTTTATGCTAAGCTTCTTCCTGCCTTTTAATACATAAAACCATAATATAAGTTTATCATTTTTTAATACATGCTATAATTTTCAAGAAAACATTATACACTTCTACTAGATTTTTAATTTAATTCAACTATGATTATGTGAATTCAATGAGTTCCTTGATTTATAGGATTACGGGAGCATATCCTTGGTGTGCATAATGCATTAGAGAATGCAATGAGTCATGGTTTTCCAGTTAGCATTACTTTACCATATTTATGGCATTGTGTTTAAGGATGTTTTCTTTCTTTGTAAAAGTTAGGTCTGCAGAATTACTTTAATTTCTGAATCTAATTGTACTATTTGTGTACTAGCAAAACTTTTTAGGTCTATCATAATTTAATTATTCAGTAATTTAATACCTTTTAGTCCACACAGAAAGATTGGCCATATATAAAGTTAAAATTTTAACTTTACCCTAAATAAAATAAAATAATTTTTTCTCCTAAACTTTGAATCAAAGAACTTCAATCTTTATGACATGCATGTTATAGATGGGGGGAAGGATTGGTTAGAACTGGTCTTCGCTTCCGGAATTGACAGGAAGTAGGGATAATGTTCCTTAGCTAGGTTGTCCTTTTTTTCTTTTTGGTAGAAATTATCTTTCCTTTTTTAAGCTCACTCTTCCTCTTCTCCTTATTTTTTCCCCTTAAAATCTTTTATTGGTGGAAGATGGTTTGGAAACCAAATTCCAATGTAAAACTACTTGGAATAAAAATTCTAAAACCACTTTACTTTATGTAATTTTACTACAACAACATCAAGATTACTAGTTCTTTAAGTACTTAAAATTATACAGTATAATTGTTATTGCCACGACCACAACCACCATCACTATCACAACTTTTGTCTTGTATAACTAAGGGTGCTTCTACTGTTATTATGCTGACAATGGTTATAATTAATATTTTCAATTTCTTGCTTTTCAGGAGTTGATTGCTGCTCTTCTTAGTTGCTATTGATTCTGATGCTTATGTGTGATGTTGTATTAATAAAAATTAGTAATTTGTTCTAGTAAGTAAGGAATGTTATCGTGGATCAAATTAAAGATGTTCTCCCTGAAGATTTTAAGGAAACAACAGAGCAAACTTATGACATATATCTTTTAACACCTTGTGAAGTTCTAGAAACTTGCCAATCAAATTTACAGATGCGAAATAAGGATAGAAAATATAGTCTCACGTTTGAGGTTTGTTTTCTTGTTATATTTTATATCTGAAGCAACATGGTTGTCCATTCAATATGTGAAAACATCATTTTTTTGTTACAACTAAATTGGAATTATAAGCGCAATTCTGGGTTCAAATCTAGTAGTATAAAATAGCTATTTGGTTTAGATATTAAATTTATAGTCTTTATTTGTAACTCTTTGGACTTAGCTCAACATCTTTTGATGGAATAGATTGTGTTAAAAAAGTGACTAAATAAGAGTAACAAATTTTTTTGAAGACAGGTGTCAGAACCCGCACCGTTAAATTAGGAATTTAAATAATTAATTATGAGTTTAAGAAATAATTTCATAATTGACCTTAAATAAATATGGTACGGTTAGAATAATTACTATAAGGGCATAATAACGCTAAAAGTCTCTTTCTCGACGAAAAAATGCGAATACCGATTCTGCTTCTCGGTATAAATGCGTACCGGTGAAGTATCCCGAAAAATTATAATAAGAGTATGAATATCCCTAAAATAATATATAGGACTGGTATATCAAGTTTGGAGTCGAAATAGTGAGAACTGACGTCAGAACTTATACCGGCTATGTATAAAACGCGTGCCGGCAAAGTGCTGCGAAAATTATAATAGAATTATGATAAATCCTAGAAAAATGGCTACGATCAGAATTTGAAGTTTGAGATTTAAAATGATTAGCGGAGCTATTAGCGCTAATACCGACGGATTAGTTTAATGGACCTATAAATATTATATGGGCCCAAAGCCCTAGGTCGGATTCTAATTTTTCCTACGTGAGTTTCTGGTGCTATTTGGCTGCTGCCACCTTCCCTTCACCATTCCATTGCCTTCCTCTCCATGGGAAATCACCAAGTTACCACCTTTCTCATTGGTTCTTCTCCCTCAACCTGGCAAACACTTAGTATTAGGTCTTATGAGAGTGAAAGGCTCTTGTTTGTTAAGTGTTTAGCTGCTGTGAGTTGTGGTTAGTGACTGTGTTCTTCAGTTCTTGTTGAGGAAGCCTTTTACTTGTCACTTGATGCTCCAAGAAGCTACCTTTGGAGAGAAAGGATCAAGCTTTATAGGAATTTTCGTGGCCTAGTGAAGTCAGATCATTGGAGCTGCATAGAGAGCTCAAGAGCACCTTTTGTTTATGTTTTAAGCCTTTGGGTAAGCATCACCAGCTTTGCTCATGATTTTCTTTGGAAATAATGAACCTTGATGCATGTAACTAGTTAAAGTTAATAACTTAAGGGTGGGTAAGGTATAACACACCTAAAAATGCATGCTTGAAGGTCTGGAATCGTGAAAAGAGGAACCTTAGATGGATATATTCGCTAAAATGCAGAAACTGCATTCTGTCACAAAATATCTGGATATGATACCCGAATATTGATATCCGGATACGGGGTTTGTGATATCCAGATATGATATCCGGATATGGCCCCGTGAAATATCCGGATATTCTGAGAAATTTCGTGAATAGACTTGTTCTGTCCAAACAGAAGCGTGGGTTTGGTTTAAAGACCCTATGTTGGATAATATGAGCCTCTGTAATAATTTAACTGAGTCAGAATCACTTATATTAAAGGCTTATGGCTTTGGGAGAAGTCTAAGAGCATGAAACGAAAAAGAAAACGTTGTCATAATATAAAAAATTTCTAGATTATGTATGTTGATAAGATTTTTGGTCTAAACAGATTATGATTGTGTTGTTTAGTGACCTTGAGCCGGTTGGGACTCTTGTTGGGATTGATTGCTTAAGAGGTAAGCTTCTGTGTCCTCGATTTTGCCATTGTTGGTTCCACCATACCTCATGGAGGGATGGTTTATATGCATGATGTATTTTTATGAAATTATGTGATGACTACTGAAATGTTATTTTTTTATGAAATTATGTGATGACTACTGAAATGTAATTGAGCTATTTTATTGAGTGCAAGTGCCATATGATATGTATGCGGTGTACCACCTAGACGGTAATCCTGAGTATATGGAGACATATAAGATGGCAACTTCGTGGGTGAGGTACAAGTGGTGTTCCTAGTACTGTAGGTTGTAAACGTATATATTCCCTACATTCTTATTCTCTGGTCAGTAGGATGCATACACACATAACATGGATATATGCTGCATTGCACGAGTTTTGGAAATTATATTGTTATAATGTTTTGGAACTTATATTGCACATATAAGTGAGCTTGGGGTGGAGAGATCCTTGAGGACCCCTTGTCTTACTGAGATTTCTTTTTAGAGATCTCACCCGTGTTGGGGCATATTTCAGGTACAGGTACCTCGGGGATAGATACCTCTAGCGCAGGAGGCCAGAGTTGAGCTGACTATGCATGCTGTTGTGCTGATATGTTGGATATTGTTTTGCTTTTATATCAGTATATGGTTATTTGAT